AAAAAAAAAAGAAAAATGTTTGTATGTAAGAATGGCACTAGTTCCATTGGTGAAATGCAGTATTCCTTCAGGGTGTCATATTGCAATGGAAAGATGAACATGGACATGTACATTCCTTTACCCATGCTCCCCTTGGTGAGCAGTTTCCTTTTTATTGATATGACACCAGAAAGCAATGGGGCATTTTCCCACCTGTGAGAGCTGGTTTGTCTCACTTGAAGACCTCTTATAATAAAATGGAGGTTCAAGATCACACAATCAGTAGATTGTTTATCCAGGATCCAAATCTAGGTCCTGCCTTCTCTGAAGCATGTGCTATTTGCTCCACCCGGCATCAAAAAATACAAGTCAGAGCTGTGTTCCATGTGCTTTCAGGACCAACTCACTTGGTGGTACCATCCTATCTGCAAAAAGAACATCGACTCATCCCATCTCAAATTCGTTTCCAATGTGTTCATACCAAATTCAAACTTAAGCTCTTAATTCCCATCACAGCCTTTGAAAGCTGTAGTAATGCTCTTCTGTTGCATTTTGCTTCACTGGCGTAACATTAAAAGCTACACGTCTGCGTATCACTCCTTTTGTATAATCAGTAAAAACTGTTTTAGAATCCATCCCATCCAGTTAGAATCTTCGCAATTTGATAGTGCTTAATTAGAGTCATTTTTATTTAGGGACCTGTCTCTTTAATGAAGAGAATATTTTCGGCTCCGATTTACACTACAGGCTTAATAAAGGAAAGCCACGCAGGGCCGGTATCTGGCTGAATCTCCCCAGGCGGCTCATCACCCCTGCAGTAAAGCTGTACCAAAGTTGGAGGAAAAAGAGGGATGGAACTTACATTGCTGCTCATCGCTCTTGTCCCCACACTGATCTGTGAAGTCACACACATTGTCAAAAGGCACGGAGACCCCAGTGCCACACTGAAAGGCTCCTCCTGTTCCTTGCTGCACCAGTGTAGAAAGGAAGACACAGGAGATCCAAGGCACGCAAAAAGCTTCCTTCTTTGGGAATGCTAGCATCCTGGCCAGCAGACGTGCGTTACTTGATGTCTATTGCAGGTCAGGCAGTTGTAATAGGTGAGCCCATAATTAGAAACATTCTCTCTCTATTCTTTGTTTTTCAGATTTGCCTCTTATGACCAGAGACCATTGGCAACTACCTACAACACTAAGAAATGACTCCCAAGGCAGTTCATGCACCCTTTCAGAGGAGTGTCTTTAGAAAATATTTAACTTGAACTATTGCTTCATTTCTATATCTAGATAAACATGGATATTTATTGCCCTATGTATACCATGTTTAAACAATTTAAGCCTTTATGATCATGCTAGCTCCTGAAAGAAAATTTTTTTTTAAAAATGCTAAGCACATAAATGGAGGGGGGAAACCACAGTAAAATTATAAATCGGACGGCCGGTTGGCTCAGTTGGTTGGAGTGCAGCGCTCGTAGCACTGGGGTTGCTGGTTCGATTCCTGCATGGGCCGGTGAGTTGCGCCCTCCACAACTGGGATGAGGGCAATGACTTGGCATGGAGCTCAGCTGCGCCCTCCACAACTAGATTGAAAGTGGCTGCTTGACTTGGAGCTGATGGGTCATGGAAGAACACACTGTTCCCTAATAAAGTTTTTTTTTTAAGTATAAATGACAGAGATGGTCTGTATTAATTCCTATGCTTACTTAGCCACATTCATGTAATTTAGAACATTATGGTGGTTACTAAAACTTATTCAAATATTTCAAGCCCAATTATTAAAATTGCTCTTTGAGAATGAAATGCTTTTCCTTTGTTGCTGAATAGAAACCTCACATTCCTTGCTTATAAATTGAGAAAAACAGGGTGTTAAAACTTGAAAGGACAATGCAGATTAGTATTTTATAAATCACATAACTTGGCCTCAAGAAAGTTAAGGGATGTATATGAGGAAGAAGTATAATAAGTTGGTGTTAGAAACAAGAATCCAAATATCCTACTGCCAAGCACAGTGTTCTTTCTTCTATAACCCACTGACACTGCTGCCAATCCATCTTCATTTGCTTTTACAGGTCAAACACGTGATTTCAGAGGCATATTCAGAATGCACAATATGTGAAGTTCAGAACACACTGACATATTAATAATAACATTCTACAAAGTTGAATAATTATAGAAGTTATATAATGTTGACTATTCAAAATATTCCTTTACATCTGATTTCCTAAAGGCATATGAAAGCACTTTTTCAACTACTTTTTTAAAATTTCTACACTATAACTGCAAGAGACAAAGACAGCCCATGAGACTATAAGAAGCAATTGAAGAATGTCGAGTGGAAAAGACCCTAGATCAGGGACAGAGAACGCAACTGCACATTTAAAGAAAGCATTGGGAAAGTGAGATTTTCCCTCTAAGGTGTGGGCATTGAGGATTCTAGGAGGAAAGCCCATAATTTTGCCCTATCATTGAGCACTCCATATAATGTAGCATTTCATTGCTCTTTGCTTCATTCCAAATTCAGAAATACTTATTCTCCTTACTTCTCTGTTTTGTAAATGAATATTAAGTAAGACCTTGCCTACTTGTCTATGTGTGTCTCTTAAACGTTTATTATGCTTATATTTTCTATTCTTAGTCCTCTTCTCTGTTCAGATTATGCGTCTTTCAATTTTTTCTGGGTTTTCTCTTCATGCTCATAATGTTAGGTATTATCTATACACTGTTGTCTCACAAATCTGTATCTGAAGTCCTGATACATGTTGCTCAAACCTTTATCTTGTCTTCTCCCTGAGTATGCACACACATAGCACACAGACAGACAGCCTAGCTAACATGTCTACTTCAATAAAAAACTAAACTTACCTTCCCTTTCTCCACCCAACCAATCAGCTACCACTCCCATATTCTATATTTCAATGAATGGCGTCTTCTTCTATGCAACTTCCCAAGCCAGGAATCTATATGTTGGTCCTAGACCACCCTCACTCCTTCCACCTATCAGTCATCAAGTCTTGTGCATTCTCTATTTCAGTTGAAGACTCCATCAATTCTCATCTCAGCTACACCCCAAACCGGATGTTTCTCCTACCCACAATGCATTCTCTAGGCAGTGTGATCATTCTTAGGCACAAACCCACCCTACATATGTCCATCTGAAATCAGTATCAATGTCATGCTCCTCCGTGTGGCTTACACACAGAGCTTATCTTTTGAGGTTCACTGCTTATTACACCCTCCCTTACGTTCTCAGGCACAATTTTACTAACCTGTTGCACTGGCAGAGCTCTGAACATGTCATCTCTACACTCCAGATCTGAGATCCCTTCCCCACCCAGTCACCAGCTTAGAGGACTTTCTCTCAAGTATCTTGGCTGAGTTAAATGCCATTCCTGGGACCCCTCACAGCTTCGGGTGTCACTCACCTTAGCACTTACAGGTCTGGTACGGTCCTGTCTGCTTACTTCAGCGCTTCCACCGCAAGTCTGTGAACATAAAGCAGGACCATGACTTTCTCACTAATGCATCCCCGGTGGCTAGCATAGCTTCTGGCAGATTGTAGTTGCTCAACAGATAATTGCTGATTAAATGAAATTATTGAGGGCTTACAATCATTTCCACTTTTGCTAGGCACACGTAAATGATCACAAGGAAGATGTGAATTTCTTTTTTTATTAAACTTTATTGGGATGACAATTGTTAGTTTGTCACCAGGTACCAAAGTTAACTCAAAATGGATCAAAAACCTACATATAAGACCTGAAAGAAATAAACTGCATAGAAGACAACATAGGGATTAAACTTCTGGACCTTGGGTTCAAAGAGGATTTTATGAATCTGACCTCAAAGGCAAGGGAAGTAAAAGCTAAAATAAATGAATGGGACTATATCAGACTAAGAAGATGTGACATTTTAAAATGCTACTACATAAAAGATATATAATTCTTGTGTTCAGTGTTGTTTTTCCATTGTTAAATTGTGCTATTTTAAAAGGCCCTTTAGACTTTGAAATTGCAATCTCCTGTTATATTGGCAATGCACTCCCCCACCCCACATCCTAAATAAGTAAATGACTGTATCATGTCAAAGCCCATTTCAGGTTTTCCTCAGAAAGGGAGAGGGAGAAAAAGTATAATAAAATATACAAATAGAAACACTTCAATTTTACATCCTGATTCTGAATTCAGATCCCATAACATTTTATATGTTCACTATATTACATTTTTTTAAAAATCACATATTTTGTTTCATAGTTGTTTATTGCCTAGTTTCAGCTGAGAAACTCCTTTATTAACTGTTATTGTCTACTAAAAATAACATTACCCTATACTGTTTCAACTGTCATTCATCATTTAGATAAGAAATGAACTAGAATGACAGCACCCAAAATAAATCAGTATAATCCAGTAATATAATATTTTATAAGGCAAATTTTTATTTTGTTGCCAAAAGATAAAATTATGTTGAGCTGATAATTTCCTTATCACATTCTTTCTACATGTAATGAAAGGAGCAAGGAATAAACTGATGCTGATAGCAACCATGGTTGTTTTTGTCCAGTTTATTGAGAAAGGAAAAAATGCCTCATAAATCCTGGTGCTCCAACACTATGCTAGGTGCACCACACACGGTCTTGTTATATCCAAAATCTCCTCTTGCATTGCTTCCTGCTTTTATATTTTAAATTATCACTCAGTTGTCCAAGATCACATGATTATTAAATGATGGAGATTGGATGAGAACCCAAGATAGAAAAATATGACCATATAATTTTAACTGAATTACAGTTGGCCCATGAACAACACAGGAGTTAGGGGCACGGACCCCATGTGCTATTCAAAATCCATGTATAACCTTTGATTCCCCCCAAAACTTAACTACTCATAACTTACTGTTGACCAGAAGCCTTACCAATAACATAATAAGTGAATTAACACAGTTTCTGTGTTATATGCTGTATTTTTACAATAAAGTAAGCTAGAGAAAAGAACGTTATTAATAAAATTATAAAGAAAACACATTTTTTAATACTATATGTATTTATTTTTAAAAATCCACATTAAGTGGACCCATACAGTTCAGGCCCGTGTTTTTTCAAGGGTCAACCGTATATTGCCAACGATTTTCACGAGGAGTCCCTGGTTGAGAACTCCAAAAGTCAAAATATTCAAAAGTGACAGAGCAAACTCATTTAAACTAAATGCATTGTTTTGTCTTTTTAAAAAGACTGAGCACCTACCTTACGGTATACTTTGGGGGTGGGGGACAGGAAGATAGAAGATTGGATCCCACACATGAGGGCCAGTGACACTGCCCTCTACAGCTAAGATGCTGAACAACAGCTCAACCTAGAACTGGGCTGCCATGAGTCACCGGCGATGGCGTAGGCTGCAGCCCCTGTGGTAGTGGGTTGCCATGGGCTACCGTGTGTAGCCAGCAGCCAGCGTGAGCGGCCAGCAGCCGCAGTGAGCGGACGTCCAGAAGCCAGCGACTGATCTGCCTCGCCCAGGAAGAGCGCAATGATGGTACCAACTTGGGCCAGTGAAACAACGTCCTCCACAACTAGACTTAAGAACAAAACGACAGCAACTTGTCTGTTCCCCTTCCCCCAGTTCCCCAGTGCTGTTCCTATCCCCCCAATTCCCCAATAAAAAAAAATATCTTTAAAAAAAAAAAAAGATAGTAGGAGGATGTAGAGCCAACATAACAGAGTTCGTAACTGAATGACCATCCTAAAGAATATTTCAAGGAAAATTCCAGAATTAACGCAAAATTATAATTGAAAGAAGGTATGAAGTACAAGAAGTGGTAAGTAAAGACTGAAGCTAGAGGGCAGATATAAAGCAACCCAGAATACTAATCTTGAAAGTTGAACTGGGAAAGTAATAAAAGGAGTTGGATCTACAAAAGAATATATAACAAATTAGAACTGATATTCTTGTATAAAGCTAGAGGAAGAATTTGCTAGGGAAAAAAATCCCTGCCACTTTCAATAAGGTAGCTCAGGATTTCCATAAAATATCATCATCCAAGTAAGTGCTCAGAGTGAGAAATTAACTGGAAAATGACAAACAAGTCTCTATGACTCAGAGCCAGCACAAATAATCACATAAGCAAAGGCACAATAAGATAGCCAAAGATTCCATATAGTGGCATTATGTGATAGTGAATGTAAAATAATTAGGTATCAAATCTTAAAAAGATTAAATTTTAAAAATAAGCACAAGGAATAAGAGACTAGGCATGATTTTGTAAAAGTGACCAGGAAAAATATAATCATTGGAAATGAAAACAATGTAGATGGTAAAAATAGGGAAAATAAATATAGAATGTAGTAAATTTGGAAAAGAGTTATGAAAAAATTATACAAAATGCCACATAGAGATATATCCAAGTATGAAAATATACACAGAGGGTGCCAAAAAAATGTACACACATTTTAAGAAAGGAAAAAACTGTATTAAAATTGTGTTGAGGGTAACCACTTTGAGCACCTCTTGTAATTGCAGAAGT